TAGACACCACAACCAGAGGAGTTAACAGAAGACCACTTGATGAAGATGAGTGCTTTCAAACCAGATGATGAGGAAGAGATGTAACAGAAGCAGTTCCAGAAAACAAACTGACATTAGATAATCTGGTAGAAGGGTTCCAATTATGCAAGACTGCATTTGACTTCTTTTACAACATGGACCATTCTACGATATGGGCACCAAAACTAAAGCAAATAGTGGAAGGTTTGGTACCATGTTAAAACATTTCTAGAGAAATGAAAAAGCAAAAAAGACAGAAATTACAATGTACTTCCATAAAGTTACACTGAGTGTGCCTGCCTCTCCCATCTCCCCTTCTACCTCCTCCACCTCTTCTGCCTCTGCCACCGTAAGATCAACCCCTTCTCTTCCTCCTCCTCCTCAGCCTACTCGAGGTGAAGACTATGAGGATGAAGCTCTTTATGATGATCCATTTCCACTTAATGAATAGTAAATAATCACTATGCTGTATTGTTAATAAACTTATCTGTTGTGTTTGTGTCTGCATGTGAAAATATAATAACTGTACAGCAAGAACTGTATGAGACGTTTTTGTGTCACAATCATGTCACCTAAGTATTCACTGTGTAGAACATCATGTGCAAGACTTGTATATAAGTGGAAAGCCTATCCTTATATAGGAATAAGGTGAGTGATATTTAATATAAGATTAGTAATGTGTTAGTTTTCTTGCTATTTTATAACTTGTTTTCAAAGTATTACATTACTCTACAGTATGTCTCTCTCATAATTGGAGAAACAGTATCAGCCTATCATCACAATGATTTTTTAAAATGTAACAATGTTTCCAATACTCTATCATGAATATGACTGTATACTATATTTCATAAAAATTTTATAACGATTCATTCATTAGTGTATAGGCTAGGCTACCATAAATTAATTACACTAGCCATAAATTAATTACATAAATTGATTACACTAGACTACCATAAAGCAATCATACTACTGCTCCTTTATTATCAATGCACAAAGCGTTATACCTGTAAATAAATGAATTTTTCACATTTTATTCATTTTTTATGTCTAGTGTAATACATATAACATCTACTGTGTTTTGTATCATATAAGACAATATTGATGTAGATACTGCCAAGACAGACAATTCATCTTGTAAACAGATGATGTAAACTTATGGTATAAATACAATATGGCACTGTAAACATGTTTTCTCTTTCTCATGATTTTCTTAATAACATTTTCTTTTCTCTAGCTTACTCCGTTGTAAGAATACAGAATGTAATACATATGCAAAATATGTGTTAACTAACTGTTTATGTTATCAGTAAGGCTTCCAGTCGAGAGTAGGTTATTAGTAGTTAAGTTTTCAGAGAGTCAAAAGTTACATGCAGATTTTCAACTGCATAGGGGGTTCAGTGCCCCTAACCCCCACATTGTTCAATGGGTCACCTGTATTTAAAAAATTAATTTATTTGTGGGGAAGTATGTTAAAACAAATGTAGAGCAACCCAGTGAAAACAATTTTGATTTCAAAACAAAAAAAAAAGTTAAGGAGAGATAGGAAAGGTAGCTACCAATTTAAAACAAAATATTCTGGAAGCACTATGATCTGTTTTTATTTTCAGGATAGAAGTGACAAAGCATGAAGAGGTAGAAAAATGAAAAGGGAAGCAAAGTAATAAAAAATGGACAAATTAGGTAGAAAAAAGAAGTTAAGCAAGAATTCTCTTCAATCACAAAGACTATAGTGTTTATAAACAAATGTATGGCCCCTTCCTTCTTCTAAATCAGCATCCTTACAAAAGGGATGAAGGTGTTCCTCATGATCAGGATGACAATATAATTTAATGCCCATATTGGGGTATTTCTACCTAGGACAAATGCTAAACCAGATAAGCTACCAATACCACTGGTATAATCAGGAGTATCCCAGGCAAACCAATTCCTCACCCCTCTCTGTATCCCCATTTTTTGCAAAGACTTTACAGCTCCTCATATCAAGAGGTGGACTCGATTCCCCACCTGTCAACTCTGGTCTGACCCGATGATTTGTTTTTGGCCAGTATCGTGCAGCAGAAGTGAAGTGCCAGTCCTGAGCCTTGACCTCAAGACACTTTGAGAATCACTTCTTTCGCTCTTGAACTCCTGCCATCGCCATTAAAACAAATCCTGTTAAAGGATTAAACATCATCAGGAGAGCTAAGACAACGCTCCACCCCGAACCAATATCCAGTTAACACCCCCAGAAGCTGAACAGCCTAGCTAACCCACAGCTGACCATGAGAACCCAGCCAAGATCAGAACCACCCAACTGAGCTCAGCCTAATTGCCTCTAAAATCATAAGCAACATGAGCCACTGTTTTGGAGTGGTTTGTTACACAGAAATAACCAAAATGACTCACTCCCAGTGTGCCTACCACTTCAGAAATGCAGCAATGAAGTTTCCTACTATAGTGACCCAACCCAATCCATCTATACCTGGGGCAGGGTTAAGAAACCCAAGGCTCCTCAACCAAAGCCCTGCAAGATACTAAGCTGATGCTTTTTTTTTTAAATCTCTTACTTATAGTAACCAAGAATGCTCCATCCATAAATAATATTGGCTATCTTCAATGCTTACTTCTAGGAAATTAACATCTATTGATCTTAAATGTAACACTAATATCAACTTGCCTTTAAAATAGCCTATTATAGTTTCAATACCATTTTATTAACAAAAAAAGAACTATGAAGCATAGGCAGAGCAGATATCATTACACTCATTTTACACATGAGGAAATCAAATCACAGAGTAAGTTAAATGACTTTCACAAGTAGCAAGTGACCAAGCTACAATACTTATAACTACACCTACAAACTTTCAATACTCCTCCTTAGAGCTCTTATGCTAAAATCTTGGGTCAGTATTGGCATATCATTTTTCAACTATCCTGAGGCACTATTTCCTTTCTTATAAAAGTAGGGCTAACATGACTTAGCTCAGGATTGTTTTGAGAAACAAATAATGTATGAAAAAGCACATAGCACAATGTCTAACACAAATGTTTAGGCCCCTTTCCCCCACTCACCATGATAAAGCTCTTTTCCAGGCTTCACAACCTCAACCCTCATCACTGAGCATCACTTGAAATGATAAACGTTCACATAGTTAGTATAGGCAAATTTTATTTTTATGGTAGAAGCATTTATTTCAGTTATAGAAAAATAACACTATTTCAAAGTCAAGGTAACTAAGAAGTATATTTTTTCCTTATATACCCATACTCAAATGTCACATATGGTTTCAAGACATTCTTAAATTAACAAGGACCAAATGCAGAAGCAAGGTAGTACCTGTCAATAGAAGAGATATACTAAGGCTACATATCAGCTCTGGAAATGGGAAAATACAAAGTGATCTCGTGCAGTGATTCTCAACTTTAGTGTGCATTAGAATCACCTGGATTGTGGAAGAAGTACCTTCAGAGGACTGAAGGCAAATCACCAAATTAAGCAAGCCCTTGGTCTCAGAATAAATACCAAAGGGACTAAAGATACATACTTTGTTGCACAGGGAGGGGCAAAGACAAAATACATCATGATATATGAAATTAGCCATTTACACACTATATGACTTCTAAGCCTCAGATTCAGGAATAATAATAGATACTACTCTCAGTTTTCTATAGATTAGGTCAGGTAGTGTGCAGTGATTCCCTAATTCAAAACACACAGCTACTATCATTATTTCACCACCATCATTACTATTGGATACAAGGACATTCTCCCCCCACCCCCACTCCCAGTTCCAAATAGCTATTATCTATTTTAAAAATCAAATTACCACTTACCGAGTTCAAGCTCATTGACTACGGGTACCATTTTTAAATTGGTAACATTTTTACTAGCTTCAACCACTTACATTAAGATTTCAGTACATGGCTGAAATGAAAATTTTTGTCTAAACTAAGACAATGGAGTCAAAGAAGAAAGGGTAACTAACTAAAGCTTAAAAAGTGTGCGTGGTATCTAAAGCATCAATAGCTAGACAAATGAACTGCTTTTCAAAGTGACCCACTTTAGACAATCTCTGATGTTCCCTACATTGTTTTCTGACTCACGTTATTTACAGATGGAAACATATGAATAAAATACCTATAATCTTCATTACTTTCTATATTCAATATACTACACAGTAATGTTTCCTAGTTAAAGTTTTGGGCCATTTAAGTAACTCCCACATAAATATCTGAGGTTTTAATATTCTGAAACTGAAACAAAGCTGAAGAGGTGCTCAGTCAGGCTAGGACAGGGTTTCTCAACCTCAGCAATGTTGACATTTTGGGTTGGATCATTCTTTTGTGTGGGGGGCTGTCCTGTGCATTGCAGGATGTAGGCATCCCTGGTCTCTCCCTACTACATGCCAGTAGCAACGTGCCCCACTGCCCAGTTTTGACAACCAAAAATGTCTCCAGACACTGCCAAATATCTTTTGGGAGCCAAAGTCACCCCCAGTTGAGAACTATTGAGCTAGAATTTTACAGACATAATTGTAAACTCTGAGTGCACAGATTAGAAAAGACTCTATGTAATTCTAATATAAAGAGTATAGCACAATAGTTTTTGCTATACTGTTTATGCAAGGGCACATAGTTTTTATACAATATACTACTTAACCATATAATTACCCACAAATAACTATCTTTTTCCTATTGAAAACACTTTTTTTTTTTTTTTTTTTTTTTTGCGGTACGCAGGCCTCTCACTGTTGTGGCCTCTCCCGTTGCGGAGCACAGGCTCCGGACGCGCAGGATCAGCAGCCATAGCTCACGGGCCCAGCCGCTCCGCGGCATGTGGGATCTTCCCGGACCGGGGCACGAACCCATGTCCCCTGCATCGGCAGGTGGACTCTCAACCACTGTGCCACCAGGGAAGCCCTGAAAACACTAATACTAAACAGGAAAAAAAAAATACAGCTAATCCTGCTACCGTTTTTATATTATCTAAGCCTATGGCTTATAAACGATTGATAAATGGAGATCTAGATAAATCACTGCAAGTGTCCTTCCTTCTGCATTCGTAGTCTCTCTTTCTCTACTTGTAAGCGCTCCTTTTCAATCTGCAGCTTCTCTGATTCAAATTTTAAAAACTGCAGCCTATCTTTTTCCAGTTGCAAGCGTTCTCTCTCAAGTTTTAACTTCTCTGTTTCTATATCCTGTGGTTGATATATGGACTTTTCTCCTTGACCAAGTTCGTTTTCCAAAGATGGTTTCTCTGAGGTGACTATCTGTAACCTCAACCTCTCTCTTTCAATCTGCAGCCGCTCCTTCTCCAGCTGAAGCCGCTCATGCTCCATGTCTAACTGTCGCAGCCTCTCTTTTTCAATCTGTAGGCGTTCCTTCTCTACCTGCAGTCTTTCAGCCTCAATATCGAGCCGTCGTTTTTCCAATTCTAGTTTCTGTTTCTCTATGTTTACAAGCAAATGGGGCTCATCATATGCAGACCTAGATGGTGTTGAATTCAGAGTAAAAAACTCATCAATGTGGGGGAAATCAGGAAGTTCACTTTCCCTCCTGGAATCTGGTATGACTGATGACAACATTTCTTCTTCCTCTTCAATCTCAAACTAAAAGAGAAAAGTAGTTCTCAGTATTTATTTATACTTCATGGTTGTTAATTTGTCTCAGAATTTCTTAAAAGCTTTCTGTATTGTTTGAGCACACAAAACCATTTACTTTGAATTTTGAAAAATATTTACTATTACCTGACATCATTAATATATATAATTAAGAGAAGTATATTTAGGTGAGAAGAAAGAGTTGATGATATTAAGATGGAAAAAAATGGAATGACTTTGTTATGTACTATTTTTAAGTTAGCTTGAAAATCTGGGAATTTCTTAACTGTTCCTGGTCTATAATAAACTTTCATATCAGAAATGGAGAAATAAAAAGAGGGTTCACACAGGCTAATACTTACTTCAGGACTCTGTGGATCTCTTTCTTCCTCTTCCACTTTGACCTCAGTTAAGGATCCACCTGCATCCCTGAAATCTGCCACATTTTGCCAATCAAAATTTGTATCATTTCGGAATCCAATCTTTTCATCTATCTCTTCAGTGAGAGAATCATCTAAATCGGATGTGGGAAGGGGAAACCCCGAACCAACTAGCTTAATGTTCGCCTTCATCCTCTTTCTCTTCATAAGTGCTCGCCAGTCAAGGTACCTCCTTTTCACTTCTGTCCCTGTTCTCTGTTCTCCTTCTCCTACAGCATTCACACACTGTGCAATCTCCTCCCAAGCCATTCGCTTCATCACATTAATTGTTGTATTGAGCTGCTTGGAAAAAATGACTTCTTTCCTTTTTGTAATTTCTTTCAAAAGGGTCTGAGTTTCTTGTACACTGAAATTGCTTTTCCTTTTCCTTTTCAATTGCTTCATTTTCTAACTTAAATGCAGTTTTTACAGTAAGAGAAGATGTAAAAAGAATTCTGAGGAATGCTACGAAGTACAAAAATCAAGGACAATTCCTTGTTAGTACTTTAAATCAGTTTTCCATTCATCCAACAGCACAGGAAGGATGATTCCTAAAGAGAAAAAAGTAAAAATCAATCAACCTGCAACTTCTGCAATGTACTTCAACCCAATAAGCTATATAATTAAAAAAAACAAAAGACCTCTAAATATGGCTCAAAACTGACTACATTTGTGTCTCTGCCAGCATTACCACAGTCCAAGATACCGTTTTCTCTCACCCAGGCTGCTGTAATGGTTCCTAACTAATTGACAGTATTCACTCTTGACTTGCTCCCTACTTCTACTCTACTCTCCCAAATTCATCCTTTCTACTCTAACTACAAAGGCCTTCTTTCAGTCACCCATTCTTGTCAGTCCCTTTCCCAGTTTAGGGCTTCTGCACACGCTGTTCCCTCTGCCTAGGAAATGGATTGTTCCCTGACTAGCCTACTTAATTCCTCCTCATCCTTCAGCTTGTAGATTAGACATCTGCTCCTCAGTGATGCCTTTGCTGACAAGTCAAATTACTCCTTGTCTTCATCTAAATGTTACACTTGTGCTAACATACAACTAAGAATGTCTCTTTCCCATTTCAATAGAAGTTTCATGAGGACAGCAACATTTCTACTCACCATGATGTCCCCAGAGTCTAGCAGAGATCCTGGCATATGGCAGGCATACCATAAACTTTTTGAATGAATAAATGAGTCAACCTGCCAAAATGACCATTAGTTTGGGATGTCAAAAAGCAAAAAAATTTAGAGTCTGAAAGAGGGTATACCTGAAACTTGTTAGAAAGGTAAACTTTTCAGGCCCCACCCCAGACTATTTGAATACGGAACTCTGGGGGCAAGATCCAGCAATGTGTGTTTCAATAAGCCTTCCAGATGATTCTAATACATGCTAAAGTTTGAAAACCATGGGGCTGACTCACACCAGTGAAACAAATGCTTCACACACCTGATTCTCTTACAGACTCTGATTTCAAGTCTTATAAATAGGGCATCTGTTTGGTGGAATCTAAAGCACATCCAAATCCTCAATACAATAGCTGGGAAATGTAGTTTTTCTGCTATCTAGCCTTTGCATTATGGGAAGGCACACTAGCAAACTGGAAAAGATGTTGAATGGGTCTTTTCCTTGGAAAAGAGATTTTAAGAGTATGTAATGAGGACAAGGGCTCAGAAAGAGTAAGGGATATATAAACAAACCATGGTTTATGACTTCTAATTCACATACTGATCACTGCTACAGAGCCGATTTTTTCCCTTGCTTACAAAATGAGAGGGTTGGGATGAGGCTGTTAAGGTCCACATTTCCTGCCAATACAAAGAAAAAAATACCAAATATCCATTAAGTTCTATGTCCTGTCATTTAATCCCCACCACAGCACTGAATGCGAGATACCATCATTTGCATTTGTATTTATACGACAAGATTCTGGCAAATTGAATAATTTGCACATTACATGGCTAGTTAAATGACCGAACTTGGATATAAATTCAGGCTCCCTTAGGCCACATCTCCTTCCACTTTATTAGCAGCTTGTGACAGCTAAATGTTAGAAATGTGTTGCTAAGTTCTGAGATGCCTTTTAGTAGAAAATTTTCAAAAAGAACAGATCTTTATCTATGTGGAAGGTTTGGATAAAGTTCTGTATATAGGCAGAAAAACTCTCCAAAGTTTCAACTAGTTATGTTTCACTCTACCATGGTTTCTTCTCTTAAAAACTTTAATATCTGCCAGTTTAAAATTTTTATTAGAGTGAAAAATTTTTCCCTTGTAATTAAAAATATAAATAGTATTTTCTACTGAAGCAAAAATACAGCAACTGAGTAAGGCTAACTAAATTTAATCAGAAAATGCACTAATCTTTTCTATCACCGTTTGAGCCTCTTCTCTCTAGGACTTAAAAGTGGATGCAAATCCCTTATTTCTAAGCTCTAATAAAAAGGTAATTTTTATTAAGATTTCACTAAACTTTTATGCATTTTTTCCGTTTCAAGTTTCCAGTAATCTTTTTCAGCTGTGTATCTAATAACATCACCAAAAACATACCCACCACTAGGTTGTTTTGTTTCTAACCTCTGATGTAGAATAACCATCTCCTGAACTGCCACTTGCTGCTGAAATGGAGACTATAGAGAACTAAAAGTTCAAAAGAGTAGAAAATAAACTCTCAAGAAATCACTGTCAATTTCATACATCCACAAAAAGGGCAAAGCATGCAAAAACAAAAAAAAGATTGCAGCAAACTATGCCTAAAGCATACTTCCAAAATTTCTTGAGACATTTAATAATAAAATTGAAATCCACTAAATAAGAATGTAAAATCAGTGGCAGCACCTTTGATCTTGCCCTAGCCAAATCCTGCCTTTATAGTCAAATATAAGCCTCCTGTCACTAGAACATAAGCAAACATATTCATACAAAAACCATAATTCAAAAAGAGACATGTACCACAATGTTCACTGCAGCACTATTTACAATAACCAGGACATGGAAGCAACGTAAGTGTCCATCAACAGATAAAGCAACCTAAGTGTCCATCGACAGATGAATGGATAAAGAAGATGTGGTACATATATACAATGGAATATTACTCAGCCATAAAAAAAACGAAACTGAGTTATTTGTAGTGAGGTGGATGGACCCAGAGTCCATCATAGAGTGAAGTAAGTCAGAAAGAGAAAAACAAATACTGTATGCTAACGCATATATATATATATATATATATATATATATATATGGAATCTAAAAAAAATGGGTCTGATGAACCTAGGGGCAGGACAGGAATAAAGATACAGATGTAGAGAATGGATTCTGAGGTGGATGGACCCAGAGTCCATCATACAGAGTGAAGTAAGTCAGAAAGAGAAAAATAAATACCGTATGCTAACACATATCTGTGGAATCTAAAAAAAAAAAAAAAAAAAAAATAGTACTGATGAACCTAGTGGCAGGGCAGGAATAAAGACACAGACATAGAGAATGGACTTGAGGACATGGGGCAGGAGGGGGAAGCTGGGGTGAAGTGAGAGTAGCATCGACATATATACACTACCGAATGTAAAATATTTAGCTAGTGGGAAGCAGCAGCATAGCACAGGGAGATCAGCTCAGTGCCTTGCAATGACATAGAGGGGTGAGTGGGATAGGGAAGATGGGAGGGAGGCTCAAGAGGGAGGGGATATGGGGACATATGTATGCATATGGCTGATTCACTTTGTTGTACAACAGAAACTAACACAGTATTGTGAAGCAATTATACTCCAATAAAGATCTATTAAACAAATATATCATCAAAAGAGGTAGTGTAGTGTAATGGTTATGAGCACACGTTCTGCAGTCAGACTGCCTGGGTTAGAATCCTGACTCTGCCACTTCCTAGCTGTGTGGCCTAATTTAAATTCTCTATGTGCAATTCCACTTGTAAAATAATATTATTACTTCATAGAGATACTGTAAGGATTAAAGGTTTTAGTAAAATATGGAATAGTTCCTGGAACACAGTTAGCAAATTAGGTTCACTATTATTGCACGAAAGGCAAATCTTTAAATAATTTTGACATAGGAAACAGAAAGGCCACCATAATATTGGTATTGTTCTAGTTCGTAGGTCAAGTGGTAGGTCTGTGGGTCTTTATCATTACGCTTTATAACATTAGTGGTATATTGGAGCCTGCTGATGTGAGCTGGCAAAGGTCACTGTGCACATCTCTTCCCAACTCCACATTCAGTAATGTCATATTTGGAACTAGAAACTGGCCAAGATGGCAGTATTTACAACATAGAACTGGATAAATGTTACAAACTCGAACATTTTTCTTTTGAGTGGTCAGGGAGTTAGTTTGCTAGCACACTTAAAGCTACATGATTTTTGCATGTTTCAAATATTACCTAATAAAAATTAAGAAAATGCAATGTTTTAACATCTGATCCCACAACAGTTTAGTGAACATTCTAGAAGACTTGTAATTTTAGAGGATCACATTTAATTAGCACTGACCTAACATTCCTTATGTAATTCAAGTTATCAATTGGGCTGGGCAAGTATTCTGCTTTTCTCTAGAGGCAACTGAAGAATACTCATGAAATACTATATTTATAAGCAACACAAAAAAGGAACTGAAGCTAACTGATTTACACATTATTAAACCAGCCCAAATATACTTCTCTTTAGTACCTATGTTGCGGTTGTGGCATATTTCAAGGAATTACTGCAGTCAAACTTGACTTTCTCCTTCCTCTACCATTTGCTCCATCCCCATGAGGAGCTGGAAGATGGTAGCCCACCTGCTCCAAAGGCAGTATCCTGAACACATAACACTATGCCTAACAAACAGAAGGAGGTAAAAATACAACTTAAAATAAGGCGGTGACTGAGGGATGGGAAAGAGAGCAGAAAATGAAATGGAAAATAACTCAAGTAAGGTCAGCTAGCAAAACTGAAACTGCTATGGGCAAAGCGTATGTTTAAAAGGAAAAGGCAGCTCAAGTCAATATAGGCAAGAAGCAGTTTATGAGATTAAGTGAAGACTTTAGATAAACTACCTACCCTATAACTATGCCAAAGAATATAACAGTTAACAAGTTATACAAAATTCTGAAAGGAAATTTTAAATAAATAGGCTATGTTACTACTTAGGCAGTATGAACCAATGATGAGCAGGTTATCAAAGACATATTTAAATAATGAAATCAGCAGGTTAGATGTCCTTAAAATTAGAATAGATTGTTAAAGTTACATCAAATTCCATATCAAATTACTTACAATGCATTAAGGATGATTTTTTGTTTCCAAAACATACAGAATGTTTCAGACCATTTAAATAGCTTCTTGAACCATTTAAAAAGCACTGTCATATTTAAAAGGTAGAAGCATGGTAAAAATATAAATATTCATCAATAAGGGATTGGATGAATAAGCTATACTACAGCTACATAGTGGAATATGATGCCCAATTAGAGTATGAATATGGCATAGCACAACATTTTACTATGTTAATGCAAGCCAACAAAACCAGAAAAGGAATGTGTACATATG